CATTTTTTGTCTATTTTATTGAAATAAATAAATAAATAAATAGTGGTCCCTCTTCTTGTCAGTAGCGCCACTATGGCAATTTTTGGAAGCTCCGTTCAGGGTACGTACAGCGCCAATTAGTAAGTGGCAAAACGCTGAAACTATTAGCCAAACAGTGGCGCCTCTTGTGGTGAAATCTGGAACCTTTATTTGGCTAGTAGTTTCAGCGTTTTGCCATTTACTAATTGGCACTGTACGGACCCTGAACGGAGCTCTCAAAGTTCGTCAGAAGAGGTGCCACTATTTATAATTTGCGGGTAATTTGATAATTTGACGAACAGTTTCTGTACCCTCAGAATAATTTTTCAACTGCGTAATTACCTAATTCTAGAGTGATTCTCGAGTTAAAACCAATAATAAAGTTAATAATAATAGTTTTAGGTCACGCTCAATAAAACATATGCAATAAAATATTACGGAAATTGAAAAAATTTATTTCACGTAGTATGTACTGTACAATTCTTAAAATTCATTTTCATAGTGAGACATTTTCATGAAATAATTATGATTTTAAAACAGCTAATGCCTCCGTGAATTTTAAACCTTCTAAGATATACGCCAAATTTTCCATCGATGCGTCTACATCTTCTTCTGCCCAAATTTCTAGCATATTTTTACATTGCTCGTATGGCGTCGGTTGACTCTGAAAAAATGTAATCTGAAAGAAATAATGAAGACTATTTTTTCCATTTACTTTAGGATTCATTTTCATTGAGCATATACCTGGTTAGTTTTCTTCGACACAATATCACATATATTTACCTCCTCATTTGTATAACCAAGTTTGGTTGCTAATTTCTTCCAATCGTTTTTCAATACATCCGATAATTTTGCTACCGTATCTGGCGTGATTTTAGTTAATTTTCGTCCCTTTGTATCCGAATTTTCAGTTTCAACTTGTTCGCTCTCTTTTTGTAACACATCTTCATTGAATTCTTGATCGTTCGAATCTTGTGGTGGAGTTTCTTCAGTTTCCAACTTCATGTCGGATTGCGTTTGCTTTAATTGATAGACATATTTTACTTTCAAGATTATTCAATAAAAGTAACATGAACCAAAAGAAAAATTAAGGTGTACTCACTGGTCGATCTTTGGCAATCTTCTTTATCATTGTTTCAAGATATTCAGGTAGTTTATTGATAGGGTAATTACCATGTACGAAAAAATGAGGGCTACGTCTAGCCAACAATCTTAATGCCCTCCATCCAAAGTTTCCGTCATTTACTTTCCTATAAGACATAGGAACGGCATAAATAACTTGGGAAATCAAGTAAGTCCTAAAAGAAAGTAAAATGTACCTACTTGTACTCATCTTCAACCATTGCATTAGGATCCAGTTGCATTATGGCTTCTTCAAAGTATGTTTCTAGAGATGGTAAGAAATCTCTTTCTTTTGATTTACATGCTTCGAGATTATTAGGGCACAAATTCCATAGCTTTGTGAGTTCTGGACTGCAGAATAAGTGAATATAATTTAATATTAGATGAAAATGCCACCGGTTTCAATTGTATTTGTTAAAAACAGACTCTCTTACTTTCCCATATGATATTTTCCTACTGCTTGAGCGTCTCTAATAACATCTCCGATTCTACGTTTGGGTCTCTTCGGTTTCCTCAATTCCTCTGCGTCGACAGTAGAATCTGATGCTGGTCTTTTAAATGGTGGACAACCTTCATTCTTCCACGAATTCCAATGTTCTTCGCGTTTTAATATATTTTTAACAGTTTCAGCAAACGTTGGGCCGTCAGGTGGTGTTTCCGTCAGTAAGGCGTAAACTTGTTCCGTGGTGGTTTTTACCCAATCTATTTGGTCCGGCTTCAATTCATGTGTTTCACTTAAAAATTACAAAAACTATTGAAATTCTGCGGTATGAATAACTCAAAACACTATTTAAGGAAAGCAGACCTTGTCTCATAGCCACTGGCAAGGAAGCTTTGGAAAACAAACATCGTTTTATAGCTTTCAAAAGTCATTTACTAATAATTTATAATGAATGTGCAATTCTATGAAAAGGTATTGTGGGTTCAATATATAATAAAATACAAATATACAAAAAAGTGTACATATGTATATTGTAGATACTTACGCTTTAAATTTTACAGTGCTATTAAGATATTGGAAAAGAATGAGAAATTGCAGCAATACATATCGTCTAAAATTTGAATCAGACAACTGTAACTCTAATAATTTCTGATTTGTTAAGTATTTTGCAAAATATGGAGTTTCTTTGTGAGATCCTTCCATTGAAGAATCCACTTTAATAGATGTTGTAGGATAATTGCGTTGTTCCTCTAATTTGAATGATGAAAATGCTGATAAAACACTTGAAGCATGCTGAAAAAAAACCACTATTAAAAATGTTGATAACCGACAAGCTGTAATAATTTTGTAATTGGGATTTAAGACTTACCGCTGAAAATACTTTCCAGTACATTTTCTGGTAACATTGATTTGGATTTCTAAAAAAATCTTGTAGAGCCCAGAACTTTCTATACAAATTATAATCAATTGGTACTTTGCTCTCAGATTTATCATCTACCTTAGTAATTTGTTCCAAATCATCTCCCTCAGATTTTTCGGAGCCAAATTCTGTATAATTTTCCAAATTGAATTCACTGACAATGTTAAGGCCAGATCTCTCAGAAAAAGGGAAAAACTTGGCAAGAAACAGAAGAATTCTTCCACAGAAAACAGTCTGTTGTGACCGAGATAATCTTCTCAGTAAATCATTGCACATACGCAATAAGTTATTTTTACAAGCACTAAAAAATAATTCTTCTTTCCATACAACAACATTGTTCTCTACAAAGGTGAATAGTTGCTCACATCTATCAAGAGTCATAGAGTCAAATATATCACCAAGTAACATGACAGGCATACTCGCAGTCGCTAAGTCTTTTCTGCATAATTCAATGCAGAATGTAATGTAGGTTTCAAGTAGTTGAACATTGCTTGGCACATGTTCTGACAAAATTATAAGAAGACTGTCTCTTAATGCTTGATCAACTGCAACTTTCCTGTCACTGTCATTTGTACAAAGAGCAGTGCATTTCTTTTGGAATGTTTGTAGATCTGGCACTCTAAAACATTGCTGTAAGTAATCCTAAAATCAGATTCAAAATCAAGTTTCAGCAAATAACCGTATAATCTCACAGGAGCCAAAAATATATTAACAGACTCTTACACTGTATTCTTCCCTTAATGCTTCAAACATAGCCATGGCACGAAACAGTACACGCGCTTACTATAAAAAAACGATTACTTTCGCACACTACGTATCAACCATCACGTATCGCAAACTACACCTATGAGCAATTCCGCTTCACCATAGCAAGCATTTCTATCCCCACCATTTTACTGCGCATCCAGGTTCGCGCAGTTGCTTTAGAAAGAGAACGGAAGATGATCGAGAGAGACAGAATGAAACCAACGGGTTCTATGTGCGAGTGTCCACACGAACGAGAAACGCAGGCCGTCACGCTTTATCGTGCTTGCGTTCTCACTCTTTTCACGTATCCATATGCCTGGTACCCCATCTGAAACACGTACATATTTGCGAAAGTCTTGAAATGATAATCATTTCTACAATTATTAACATTTTCAAAAACCCGTAAGCTACATTTTAGCTAATGGTTTCTACTTTATGAATCAACAAAATTTTTTTAATTCAGCCATCCCAGTACTTTTTAACTGAGACGATTAGCAATCAATATTCTACTGTACAAGGAGTTTCGAAACCAACGAATAATTTCGCAATTTTATACGATTTTTACTGTTAAAAATTTGGAAAACGAAACTGAAATTTAATGTAGTAATTACTTACAAAAACAATTCTCAAACTCAAAATTTTATAAAATTACAGTTAAGAATTATTTATTAAATATATTACAATTATTGAAATTTTTGAAAACCCGTAAGTTACATTCGTAGCTAACGATGTTTAGTTTACGAATCTACCATTTACATTTCGAGCAGGTAAAGGAAATGCTTCCCAAGCGTCAAAGACAGGTCGTAAAAGTGAAGAACGATTCGCAAAGCTAATTCAATCATAAATCGCGTCAAAGAACACAATTCAACGAATGATTCGCAAAGCTAATTTAATAAATAATAATCGTGTTAAAGGACGTAAAGGTTATGTTTGTATCAATAAGAAACTCACCCATTTAGTTGTAAATCCACTTCATGCACGGAAATGTGTGCAGGATAGTGCATTGACCTTGTACAATGTCAAGGTTATGTCAAGGTTATGCCAAGGTCATGTCAAGTTCATGCCAAGGTCATGTCAATGTCATGTCAAGGTCAATATATGAAATTTTTAAGCAAGGTGTACAGTGAAGATTAACAAAGTACGTAAATGAAATTTTGAATGATTCGCAAAGCTAATTTAATAAATAATAATCGTGTTAAAGGACGTAAGGGATATGTTTGTTAGAGAAATATGAAGAATATTATCAATAGGAAACTCACCCATTTAGTTGTATAATCCACTTCATGTACCCGACGGCGACGAACCGAAGTATGTCTCCGGGCAGGCAATTTCAACGTTTACTTTCACTGCATTATCGCTAAACACTGATCACTTATCAATAATATTTATGGACGAACTTTTCTGGGTTAATATGTATGGCTCTGAAAAGAGCCGACTTTTTTATGCGACGTGTTCGAAGTTCTCACTGTTAATGACACGTATGTACCGCGTTGTCGAGACGAACTGCAGAAGACTGGCACAATGGCCGACAGTGTTTCGTTTTCCTACGAGCGAATTTCAACTGTTTCCCATCGATCGCGAACATTGTCAGCCATCGTGCTAGTCTTCCGCAGTTTATCCCGTCAACGCAGTTCTCCCTTTTTCCTTCAACACAGTCATCTTTCAGCCACCGCCAAAGACGCATCAGGACTTTCGCCAGTCTATTCTGCATACTCACCACAACTTCGTAGTCCAGGAAGTCCAGGACCCAGCATGAGCAGCTGCAGCAGTGATGCAGAGGATGCATCACCCAGTCACTCTCCTACATCTCCCGCCTGTTTACCAACATCACCGAGCATAACTCCGTCGAGTCCTAACTATTCGCCGACGAGTCCTAATTACACGCCGGCAAGTCCTAGCTATTCACCAACGAGTCCAAGCTACTCTCCGACATCGCCTAGTTATTCGCCAGCGAGTCCAACGTATTCACCAAGAAGTCCAAGCTATTCACCTACATCGCCAAACCACTCATCGACATCACCGAGTTATTCACCGACAAGTCCTAATTACTCACCGACATCGCCTAGTTATTGTCCAGCGAGTCCATATTACTCGCAAACATCACCAGGTGATTATCCAACATCACCAAGTTACTCGCCAATGAGTCCAACCTATTCCCTGGCGTCACCAACTTACGAAACAGATGACTAAGAAGTATTACGAATATCTGTATGAATGTTTACAACTAAACACTCAGTACAGACTAGGTATAAGTACGATAAATTGTAATTATCGGTGTTGCAATTCTAAATTTTCTAAGTCCATAAATGTATGTATATCTTCAAAAAAAAAAATAAAATAACATCTTATCGACTTTTCCACGAAATTTGTAGATTTATGGTTGTTACGATTATCCATGATTTTCCGAGGAGGACCGCTGTATAAATTTGTAAGCCAAATACAACGAGAACGAGAATTCCGTATAATCCTAAAATTTAAAGGTGTTTTCAAAAATTAGATTTAAAGGTATGAGATAATGACAGTGAATTAGGTTTACACAATACCAAGCTTTTTAACAAATTAATCAACTTTATTCTTTTCAAATAATTAACTCTCCCTCTCACGATTGCTCACACACTCATCGCATAAACTTTCCTTGCAATAATCACTCGTGATACATGTCAATTATACAAATCGTTTCAATTTAAATAAAATATTTTATGAAACAATGTTTACGTTAGACTTACAATCGAGTGCGTGTGTGTATGTATATATATTAATATTGTAGCTTATAAAACTAATGCGTCGGGCGATATATACCAGTGTATGTTACAAACGTAAACCTACTCCTAATTTACTAAATGTATTCACAAAAGTCGCGCGGTGTTTTCTTAAAAATGTCATTGTTATCGACTATAAAATGACTTTTATATTGACAATCAAGTCTTCTGGTAAGCAGAAATAAAACTTACCGCATTTCACGATCGCACGCGGAACGCAATAATTGGAAAGACGCCGAATATGTCGATGACACATAACATAGCAAACAGAAGGAACACGTTCGAATTGCCTCCCTGAAAAGCAAAGGTAGTCTCTAGCTATTCATTTCGGAGAGTAATTCGCACTGTCTTACATCAACGCGGAACTTGAACCTGTTTTCACGTTTTCAAAAAGTATCCACGCAAACTAAAACTCAATATTCTATCGAACGCGAACGACTCGCACAGAGACAAGGTGAGTGCAAGGAAGACCCACAAAGTGTCTAGTATTTTCTCCTCAACACATGTAGCCATCGTTCTCACGAACCTGATATGGATCGACCTTCCTTCCATTCATTGGATAGATAATTAAACAAATAAAAATATATTCTGAATGAATGACAAATGTGTCCCATGAAAATTAAAAAGAAAGAGGGTTCTGTTAATTCTCACGAGATGCTTTGGACTCTAAGACGTGGACCTTCCACTGGCATTGGAATATTTTGACTTCTCTGAAATACTGATCTTTCAAATGTACTTCATTCGTTTCAATCAAACCTCATTTGCATCCATTGCTACGTCATATTAAATCCATAATATCCTGTAAGAACCTAAATAGCCCTTCGTCGTCATGATTGATACTCTTGCTCATCCTGAGTACTCGAATCTCCTCTTCAATGTAAAAAAAATGAAACCCTCGATCAACCTACAATCGTATAGGTAACAAACTATGAGAGTCGTACAAATTGTGCATATAGACTTATACACTAAATATATATTTATAATCTTAGAAAATTCAGAATCGCAACAGCAGTAATTACAGTTTATCGTACATACATCGAGTCCGTACTGAGTGTTTGGTTGTAAACATTCATACAGATATTCGTAATAGTTCCTAGTCATCTGTTTCGTAAGCTGGTGACGCCGGGGAATAGGTTGGACTCGTTGGTGAGTAGCCCGGCACTGGTGGGGAGTACGTTGGACTCGTTGGTGAGTAACTTGGACTGGTTGGTGTGTATGTCGGACTGGTAGGCGAATACTTAGTACTCGATGGCGAGTATTGAGGACTTGTCGGCGAGTAGGTTGGACTGGTTGGAGAATAGTTCGGACTGCTGGGCGAATATCGTGTACTTCCTGATGCTGTGTGTTGTGGAGAGCTCGGCGAGTACGATGGACTCGTTGGTGAATATGTTGGACTTGTTGGCGAATACGTTGGACTCGCAGGTGTATATTGCGGTGAAGTTCCAGCGAATGACGGCGATGTGGGCGAGTAACTCGGACTGGTTGGCGAATATTTGGGACTGCTCGGTGAATAGCTTGGACTAGCAGGCGAATATTGTGGAGAACTTGGTGAATAGCTTGGACTTGTAGGAGAATAAGATGGCGACGCAGGCGTGTAATTTGGTGAACTAGGAGAATAGCTTGGGCTTGTCGGCGAATAGCTTGGACTCGTCGGTGAATAACTCGGTGATGTTGGTGAGTAGCTCGGCGATGTTGGTGAATAGCTTGGACTTGTTGGTGAATAGCTTGGACTCGTTGGCGAATAACTAGGCGATGTCGGAGAGTAACTTGGACTCGTCGGTGAATAACTGGGACTTGTCGGTGAGTAACTAGGACTCGTCGGTGAATAACTCGGTGATGTCGGTGAGTAGCTCGGCGATGTTGGTGAATAGCTTGGACTCGTTGGTGAATAGCTTGGCGACGTAGGCGAATAACTAGGCGATGTCGGAGAGTAACTTGGACTCGTTGGCGAGTAGTTTGGACTCGTGGGCGAGTAAGTAGGACTCGTTGGCGAGTAATTGGGACTCGACGGTGTCATGCTCGGTGATGTTGGTAAATAGGCGGGAGATGTAGGAGAGTAACTAGGTGATGCACCTCCTGCAGGTGACATCGGATATGGACTCATGCTGGGTCCTGGACTTCCTGGACTACCAGGTTGTGGTGAGTATGCAGAATAGGCTGGCGAAAGTCCTGATGCGTCTGATGCTCCCGATGGCGAGAAGCATGCACCTCCGGGTGTCATACCACTTCCCAATGCTAAAAATAACGTTTATTATAAATTCAAGTAGTAGACAAATAATCTTACATATCCTAAATAAAATTTTACTCGCGATGTCCTTACCAGGTGACATGCTGGATGCTCCATAGCCTGGAGTAGCACCCATCCAAGGTGTCATTTGTGGGCTCATGCTCGGTGTAGCAACACTGCCAAAGAACATTCCAGCAGTTCCCATTACACCAGCTCCTACAGCCATCGGTATTTCAATACCTGCTTTGCATTTTTCTGCATCTAATAGCAAATCGAAACATCCTGAAAAATGCAATTAAACATGTTAATTTGGAACAGTGCAAAATTTGGCTAATTAAGTTAATTATACAAGGACAATACCTGTTCCTATACGTGGAAGTTGTCCCATTATAATGTTTTCTGATACTCCTCTCATGGGATCAACTTCTGCGTGAGATGCTGCATCTAGTAAAACGTCTACCGTTTCCTCGAAAGAACATCTTGAAAGAAAAATTAAATAAGTAATACTTTCGATAACTAATTACAAAAAGCACATCTTTCTGTAACTTACCTCATAAGAGCGCCAGTGTCTTGCCTATTAATTCCGTGACGGGTAATAGCCATCAAGTGTCCTTTAGCCGTCATAACGTCGCAAAGTAAAGCAAGATGACGATAATTCACGTAAAGACCATAAAATTGCAATACAGCATTCATTTCTTTTTCTACTGATTTTCGCACAGCCTCTATACCCAACACTTGGAATATTTCACAAATGTCGTTACTGAATGTCCTAACTGGGTCCACATCCCTTTCGCTTAGTACTTTCATCAAACTTGTTCCGTCCGTTTCCAACAACCATTCTGCGATTGCTTTAAATTCTCCAGTTTCCGTGATAACGATACGTTTCTTCGAATCGGTTTGTGGTAAATGCATGTACACTTTTCCTATAGCCTCAATACCCTGGAAAATTGGACAATCAAATAACCATACGTTCTTTCAATTTTAATTAATGTTGTTAACAAATTTTTCTTTATTTTCTCAAATAAAATTTAATTGGACGTACCTGTAAAGTCATATCACTGAGCATGTTCGCTTCGATACATCGGAGGAACATGTCGTCCTCCATTTTATCTACAGTTTCCTCCTCCGTGTCTCCTGTGAATTTATCGTCGCTATTCATTATCCTAATTCGCAAGACCAATTTTTCAGCATTGTCATCATTGAATATACAGTTCAAGTCATCTCCAAAGCCAGCGTTAATTTTTTCTGCTATTTGTTCCATGGTCAATTTCTTATCCGTCATTCTCTTTCGATCCAATTCAATACGAAGTAACCATGGCGATATTTTAGTGGGATCGAAATCAGGCATTTCGTAGTAGACGTTTACGAATTCTTGATCCTCCGCAATCACAGTGTTCTGCGGATCTGGATCGTAGTAGATTGCAGTGTTTGCGGTAACCTTCCTTAGGGTGGTGTGCTCCAGACGACAGAGAACGTTCTTCGCTTTCTCCGCGTCTCTTGCGGCAGCGCCGATCAAAAACACAGTCAACGAAGGAGCCTTTGGCTTCTTACTGATATTGATAATTTCCTTTAGCCTGGGTACACCAAGGGTTACGTTCTTCGATGATACACCAGCGAAGTGGAAAGTGTTCAATGTCATTTGAGTAGCTGGTTCACCGAGCGACTGAGCGGCCAAGGCACCTACCATCTCACCAGGTGATACCTGAAGATAATTTTGTTCAATATATCATTGTTCTTAAATACGTAAATTACAAACATCCTATACACGAGCGTGCATCATTCAATGTGTACCTGTGCTTGTTGGAATCTCGTTTCAATTTCTCCAATCAACCATTCAAAGGCTTCACCAGACAGCCTAAATTCTTCAGAAACACATTTTGTACATAAAGTAGATCTCACTAAACATTGGAATAGCAATGTAGCGTTTTCGTTTGCTTGTTTGCTGAGTCTGTCGTCACCAGCTACAATGATACACTTCTCTAGGAGATCCTTTACACCTATAAAACGGAATTTTGAATGTCTATTCGATTACGTTAATTATTTATATTCCTCACAGAATCATTCGCTTACTTACCTTGTATAACTCTCATAGGACTTAAGTCGGTGGGTGCTCGTTTGTTTATGTGGAAAATCTTCTGTACATTCCAGATCATTCTCTGTAAATTACAAGGCAATACCACCTTGGATTCGCCGCTACGGAAAATCTCTCTAAGCACACCGCGATCTTTGTTTAACTGCTCCCATTCTCTCTCCAATTCAGAAATTACTTCTCCAGATCCCATCATCTCTCTGACTATGTCTTCATTAAAGATACGACGTAGGTAACGTTCGTTGGTTGGATCGAACTTAAACTTCTTTTCAAATGATTTATTGCTTAATTTAATAGTGGGCAAGTTTTGGAATTCCACAGTTTCACCGCATAAACCGTCTTCACCGTATCGCAACTGAATGAGTTGTCCTACAGAGTTCCGTACTGTTCCATCGTAGTGCACCATCACAGATTCCATAGCCTTTATCAGACGACGCTGAATGTATCCAGTTTCTGCAGTCTTTACAGCCGTATCGATAAGACCCTCACGACCTCCCATAGCGTGGAAATAAAATTCGGATGGCGTCAAACCGGCTAGGTACGAGTTCTCGACGAATCCTCTGGACTCGGGACCATAATCGTCCTTGATGAAATGTGGCAACGTTCTCTTCCGGAAACCGAATGGAATTCGTTTACCTTCAACGTTTTGCTGACCCACGCAAGCAATAACCTGAGAGATATTAATATTGGATCCCTTTGAACCTGATACCACCATAGCTTTTAGATTGTTGTATTCAGTCAGAGATTTCTTTGCAGAACCGCCAGTTTTGTCACGAGCGTCGTTTAGAATCCTGTTTACTTGATTCTCGAAAGTCTGCCTCAAAGTGTTACCAGGAGACGGTTCCAGTTCCATGTTATGAGCTTTCTGAATCACCTCTATTACATCTTCTTTGGCTTTCTTGATCGCTTTCTGAATCTCGAGATAGGTCTGAGGATCGGCAATAGTGTCTCCAATACCAATAGAGTGACCTTCCAATAACAACCAGTTGTTAATTACAGTCTGAATATTTCCATAAAACCGTCCACAAACTTCGTGACCCAGCTCCAGCATACAAATGTGAAGCAGAGACCCGGCAGATGTACCCAGAGTCTTTTTACAGAGAATACCCATGACAAGTTCTCCGTGTTCTACCATGACTTTGGTGTCACCAGGGGATATCCATTTGTACGGACCATCATCTTCCTCATCTGGATGTGTGCTGTGAGTCCTGATCATGTTCACGTTACCTGGTATAATCAAGGAGAAAATCTGTTTGCCCGTCCATAAAGGTTTTGGTTTCAATATACAGGGCTGTGGCATTTTTCCATCCCAACTGGGCAAGAACATAAGAATGTTCATCATTTGTTCCTTTTCGATAAACACATCCCTTTTGGTCATTTTCCTTACAGCTGTGAGTGTATCCTGTACAATACCCATGACTGGTTTGTTAGCTTGTGGAGTGATAATTTGTCGAGGCGTCACGTGAATATTTTCTACTTCCGCACGAGTCTCCATCGATTGTGGTACGTGCAAGTTCATCTCGTCGCCATCGAAATCGGCGTTATAGGGTGACGTACAACTGAGATTCATACGGAATGTACTCCAAGGCAGAACTTTCACTCTGTGCCCCATCATACTCATTTTGTGGAGTGTCGGCTGACGATTGAAGATCACTAAATCACCATCGCGAATATGACGCTCTACTCTGTAGCCACATTGCAAATGCAGATCGGATGACTTTGGATGAAATCTCAAATCTATTCTTTCTCCGTTGTCTCTGACGATATATTTTGCTCCCGGATACTGGGAGTTTCCACGCCTGACAAGTTCTTGCATCTTATCAATATTGAAAGGTGTTACAATTTCTGGGAATGTTAAATTCTGGGCGATACTGCGAGGCACACCGACTTGATCGATCCGTAAGTTAGGATCTGGTGTGATGACGGTACGAGCTGAGAAATCAACACGTTTACCCATCAAATTACCTCTAATTCTCCCTTCTTTACCTTTCAGTCTAGATTTAATGGCCTTAAGCGGTTTTCCTGATTTTTGCATTGCTCTAGGCATTCCAGGCATATCATTGTCGACTAATGTTGCTACATGAAATTGTAACATCTTTATATTCTCGGATATAACGTGCGCAGCTGCTCCGGCTTGCTCATTTCTAATTAATTCGTTATTTGCCTTTATGATATCCGCTAGTTTGTGTGTTAAATCATCCTGATTCTTTGCTGAACCATACATAATAACTGCTGGTCTTACAGACAGCGGTGGAACTGGTAAAACAGTTACTACCATCCAATCTGGTCTAGCAAATTTTGGATCCATACCCAGAATGAATGATTCCTCATCTGTAATGTGCTTTAATATTTCCCATGCTCTCTCTGCTGTGAGTGCAATTTTCTTCTCTTGAGAATCTTCATTTACATGTTTCCACTCTGCAGTAACATCCAAGCCTGATCTTCTGAGATTAGGTTGGTATCTACCACAACCTCCATGTCCTGGTTTTCTTTCTGCAGGCGGTTGCTCTTGATTTTCTTTGTTGATATCCATTTCATCACCACCCTCGCAGACATTTTTACTTTTACATAGATCATAAACAAATGTAAGCCGTTTACGTGGTTGACCTTTAGTTTTCATAACAATTTCTTTGATCTTTGGATTGTGCTGCGTTGAGAAAAATAGTATTACAATGAAGAACTGAGAATTTAAAAATACAATTGTAATTGATACTTACTGGACTAACAAGTAATTTGGAGCAATAGAAACAAACGCATCTCAATATTTTTATTGTTTTCGTTATAAAACCAACGTGAAAGACTGGTTTGGCCAAATCTATGTGTCCAAAATGCCCAGGACATTCTGTCATGTTACCAGCACATGTCTGACACCGCGAGTTTCTATCAATAACACCTTGCCTTGGGTCCATAAGTCCACCCAACTTGGGTCTACCACCTTCCATAGTTTCTGGAAAACGAATGCCGCCATCTGTGACGGACATCCGACGCTAAAAAATACATTTCACAATATTATACCATGTGACAGCTGCATTTAAGTATACTAAAATAATTAAATGATGGAATTACATAAACAGATTTGAAATATTTCAAATTTACAAGTATTAAGAATTTCAAAAAGGGAATATAATGGAACATTAATAAAAGTAAAGAAACACAACTGTCTTATGCGTCATTGTAGATCAGCAACATATTATTTTATTAGAACTGTATGTGAATTACATGAAAACGTAGATTTAAGGATTTCGCTTTCTTTACATGTTTATTCGAAATTTCAATAAAAGTAATGAAATTAAATAAGTAATGCAATGAACACGACGTTTATTGCATATATCACATAATATTGAATTGCATTTCCTCATATCGAATAACATAAACAAAAAGTACCCATCAGAGAACACGCGCGTCTGTTTGTAACATCTGATGCCACGATAAGGTATCATAAAATGTCAACTCATGAAATAGTGTGGTATACCGCCATGAAAATTATGCCATACGTGTTCACTTATCTAGAAAGAACAAACTTACTATTTCATCGGGAGAAATAATGCCAAATTGGACCCTTTTTACAGTTCGTAAAGGCGCTTTGGAGTCGGACGTGGCCATTTTGCAACCAGTATACACAATTTCTCCCGCGAACTTCTACGTCGCGAGTCGCGACTCGCACTAACCGTTCTTTCCCGTTGCAGGCATCCCCCTCTCTGATGAAGTGACGATCTGACGAACTGTCTCACCTTAGTTAGCGAAACTGTGGCAGAGAGATTTAGAAATCTGATTGGTTGATGCTTCACAGCTAAACAGTGCTGCCCTCACGATTCTAGACACAGAGAGAAAGTGACGAGTGAGCAAGAGAGTACGATATCAGCACACCTGTAAGCAAGACAAGTCACACCGACGACCAATGTAGCTTTGTCTCACTTTATCGTGCTTGCGTTCTCACTCTTTTCGCGCATCCATATACCTGATGCTCCATCTGGAACACATGAAGCAATATTCGACTTGCACTTTTCGCCCCATCGGATTCTCGACCATATACTTCAGCGTATTTGCGAACGTCTTGAAACGATAATCATTTCTACAATTATTAAAATTTTCGAAAACCCGTAAGCTACATTTTAGCTAATGGTTTCTACTTTATGAATCAACAAAATTTTTTTGATTCAGCCGTCCCAGTACTTTTTAGTTGAGACGATCAACAATCAATATTGTACTGTACAATGAGTTTCGAAACCAAAGAATAATTTCGCAATTTTATATGATTTTTACTGTTAAAAATTTTAAAAACGAAGCTGAAACTTATTGTAGTAATTACCTACAAAAAAAATTCTCAAAATTTTATAAAATTACAGTTATAAGAATTATTTATTAAATATATTACAATTATTGAAATTTTTGAAAATCCGTAAGTTACTAACGGTAAGCTAACGGTTTTTAGTTTACGAATCTACGATTTACATTTCGAGCAGATAAAGAAAATGCTCTAAACAAACATCTTGCTGTTACAAACTAAATGAAGTGAGCAACATCAGATACCCTTTAGTGACATAATGATACTGCCAATCTTTCAAAAACTTTTAACCAT